CCCAGTCTGCAATTCAACACAATCATAACGAACTGGTCTACCAATTCTCAGTGATGAATAAGATTGTTGAACCAGACGTTAACTGTAATCGTCTCAAGTGTGCCATAGAGAAAGTCTCTGACGCTTGTTCTGCACCCAACTTGAGATGTCTTAACTGAGATTTCAATCAAACGGATCGAGACACGGAAACAGGTGCCAATGGGTAATGCATTTCAGCGTGTCAGTGACGCTCTAAAACAATGTCTAACAATGAGTCTTCAATCATGCATTTGTTCTCCGAGCTTGGCGGTTCTGTCGCAAACGTTTCACCACCATGCGAGGTGGCATCCTCAGTGCAGTGAGATGCGGCATGCAATCTTACTGAATGAATCGTCCATCCGTGATCGACCTGCATGTCACAAAATGTCACGCAGTTTAAGGCAGAACAACTCGGGCGCCGATTTTACTCTAGGGGAAAGTAGGTAGAGGTCACGGGACGTAAATCGACACTGCCACTTTCAAAAGTCACCTACAGGTCGATCACCCATGGAGGATTCATTCAGTAAGATTGCACGCGGCATCTCACTGCACTGTGGATGCCACCTCGCATGGTGGTGAAATGTTTGCGACAAAACTGCCAAACTCGAAGAACAAATGAACAATTGAATCATCACCCCGAGCTACCAGTATTTCGAAACGTTTTAAATGAGTCTTCAAAATTGATCGGCAACGCTGGCAGGTGGCAAGGGCCCGTTAGGTAGAAAAAGCCGGTACTATTAGGAACAACTGGGTGCTATTCCAGCTCAACTGGAATACGAATCCGAGAAATCCATCAGTTAGCAAAACAATAGTCGCGTCAGATGCGCAGTTGATCTTTTTCCAACCTCATCGACTAGCCTGGTGGGCAGAACATTCTGAACAGCAGTTCAGCAGACCTACTGCAACACTGCCACTTGCCGAATCGCCTGAACAAACATAGAATATTGATATCATACCTCTCACTTTGGAAGTGATTCGACATGCGCACGCCGTATTGAAACGAAACAAAGCTCCTGGATCCGATGACCTTCCTCTGTCTTTGTTGAATTTCTGAACGACTTCTAGCTGATCCCCACCGAGCGTCCCTCCCGATCTTGGAGGAAAGCTTTGCACTTCGAGCGTGCAAAGCAAAACCGTGGAAGCAGCGAGAAAATGGGAGTCCTTTGTATCCATTTTAATCATCGCGTGTCTTGTTAGTCAGACTGTCGACTTGAAGACTAAAGGTAGGGCACTTCGAACAAAACCCCCTCGGAATGGACAACCAGAGAGTAGCATCTGATCTCCCGATCCTATCGACAATACTCCCACTTCTTCATGTTTTTATCACATCCCAACTCTTTCCCCCGCGTATCGAGCAAGAGACTGCCACTGATCTCGCACCTGTTGTCATCGATATATGTAGTACTTCCATCAAACCTAACGTATCATTTCACATTGTTTCCTTTAATGTCTGCACGCTGAGTCAGATTGGCCAACAAACAGCAATTACTCCTACTTTTCATTCTTCACCTTAGCAGCATTACTTTTCAACATAAACGTTCACAGCGCATCACTGGCGCCTATTGAATTCTTCAATGACTTGGACTCAAATTAACCATATTGCCATCAGCTATAGATGGCCCACATCAGTCCAACACTGTCGGTCAATTTGGAGCACGTGCCTTAATTCTGACCATGCCCTACTACGCGCACGCCTGACGCTCATTCTGCCCACTTCGAAGAAGCATCTAGCTTCCGACGTTCTTGTCTGTAGCCTGAACTCCTAGTCTGCAATTCAACACAATCATAACGAACTGGCCTACCAATTCTCAGTGATGAATGAGATTGTTGAACCGAACATTGACTGTAATCGTCTCAAGTGTGCCATAGAGAAAACTTCTGACGCTTGTTCTGCACCCAACTTGAGATGTCTTAATTAATGACTGAGATTTCAATCAAACGGATCGAGACACGGTAACAGGTGCCGATGGCTAATGCATTTCAGCGTGTCAGTGACGCTCTAAAACGACGTCTAACAATGAGTCTTCAATTTCATTTGTTCTCCGAGCTTGGCGGTTTTGTCGCAAACGTTTCACCACCATGCTTGGTGACATCCTCAGTGCAGTGAGATGCGGCGTGCAATCTTACTGAATGAATCCTCCATCCGTGATCCACCTGCATGTCACAAAATGTCACGCAGTTTAAGGCAGAACAACTCGGGCGCTGACTTTGGTCTACGGGAAAGTAGCTAGAAGTCACGGGACATAAATCGACACTGACACTTCCAAAAGTCACCTGCAGGTCGACCACGGATGGAGGATTCATTCAGTAAGATTGCACGCCGCACCTCACTACACTGTGGAGGCCACCTCGCATGGTGGTGAAACGTTTGCGACAAGACTGCCAAGCTCGGAGAATAAATGAGTAATTGAATCATCACCCCGAGCTACCAGTATTTCGAAACGTTTTAAATGAGTCTTTAAATTAATTGGCAACGCTGGCAAGTGGCAAGGGCCCGTAAGATAAAAAGCCGGTACTATTAGGAACAACTGGGTGCTATTCCAGCTCAACTGGAATACGAATCCGAGAAATCCATCAGTTAGCAAAACAGTAGTCGCGTCAGATGCGCAGTTAATCCTTTTTCAACCTCATCGACTAGCCTGGTGGGCAGAACAATCTGAACAGCAGTTCAGCAGACCTACTGCAACACTGCCACTTGCCTAATCGCCTGAACAGACATGGAATATTGATATCATACTTCTCACTTTGGAAGTGCTTCGACATGCGCACGCCGTATTGAAACGAAACACTGCTCATCTGATCCGATGACCTTCCTCTATCTTTGCTGAAAGATGGCACTGACTTCTGCTTGACTGTACTGACTTCTCTGTTTAGAACGATTTTGAACACTGGAGAGGGGCCTTCTGACTGGCGACTGTCAACTCTCGTGTCCATCTTAAAGGAGGGTCAGCACATTTTGTGCGAGAATCACCGAGGCATTTGCCTTATTTCCATTGCGTCCAAACTCACCGTGGGTATTATTCTCCGACGACTTACTGGTCCGCGTGAGAACCGAATCGTTGAAAGCCTGGGTGGATTTCGCCCTGGTCATGGTTGTATCGACCACATATTTACTCTTCACCAAGTGTTAGAGCAGACACACACGCAGACGACCAACTATGGTGGTTTTCCTTGACTTGAAAGCCGTCTTCGACTCTGTTGACTTTGTCGGCTTGTGGTCCTGCCTATCCGTGAAGGGCGTGCGAACTAAACTCCTTTTCGTTCTGAAGTCACTCTGCCGTGACCCGGGGCCGTGTAAGGGTTTACGGGAAACTGTCTCATGAGTTCCCCACAACAAGTAAGGTTCGCTAGAGTTGTCCCATATCTCCTTTCCTCTCCAACTTTGTCCTCGAAATTTTCATGAACGACTTATTTCTCTCAGACTACCGGAGTGGAAGTTCTGCCAGGTGACCGACCACGAGTTTGCGGACGACATTGCTCTCCTTGAATCTAACGCAGTGGCTATGCAAACCCTACTGAATAGACCGACGCGTAGCGCTGCATGCTTCGTCATGTGCTTTGCGCCTTCAAAGTGCAATGTACTGTTGTAGGACTGGGCCGAAACGCCACCGTTTTTAGTTGTCACCGAACAGCCACTGTAAGGAGTGGATCGGTTCACGTACTTTGGTAGCTGTGTCACCTCTGTTGGTCCCATCACTGAGGAACTTACTTTGCGTATCATCAAGCATCGTGTAGGTTTACAGAGGCGCAACCATCTATGGAGGCGGCGGGATATCAGCCTGTCATTGAAAGGTAGGGTGTATGACGCTGCAGTGTTACTGTATGCATCGGAGAACTAGCAAGTTTGCAGTGAAGACATTAAACACTTGACCGTGTTTGACCATCGGTGCTTGCGGGGTATTGCTCACCTCTGGTGGGAACACCGAGTGAGCAATGCTTAGGTCCGCCGGTTGGTTTTTGACAAGTAGCCTTTTGGTGCCTCACTCGAGTGTTTACTGCGCCTTAATCGTTTCCGTTGGCTAGACAATGTCCTCCGTATGCCCGTTGACCGGCTTCCTCGGCGTACATTATACGCCCTGGCTGTACCGAATTGGTGAAAACCGCAACGTGGCCAGTCGATGCCGTGGCATAAAGACATGAAGAAATTGACTGCGATACTTGGTCAGGCCAGTATATGACGTCTTCTTGGATGGAATCCCATAATAATTCACAACAATAATTAAAGACCCTTTCAGACATGGCGCAGTCACACAGTCAGTGACGTTCCTGTTTTCGGTTTCTTGCACAAGGTTTTTAGTTTTCTTATCATCTTCATTAGTTTAAGGCATCTTATTGATCCCATTTTCTTTATGATCCATCCGCATTAAACATTTTCTTATCGTTATTATTGTGGACGTGGTAACTGGATCCACCGCATTTTGGTGCCTGAAACATAGTTGTTTCACTGAACCGTATCATCGCGTGGTCACGGCGGTTGCCTTAGCTTCGCTGTTTGTGATTGTGTGTTGTTGATAAGGAATAGGCACCCCGACCGTGAATGCTTGCATAAAATCTTTTCGTTGCCCACTCTGCCGTCCTTCTCTTGCCCTTATTGTTTCTCATCTCCCAGCTTATTCTTATTGTGCGGTAACAAGGCAGATGTTCAAAGTACTGGTGCACTGCCGTTGTTGTAGATGTGAATCATCTCGTTCCGCATTCTGGTCCAGAGCACACTACCTCTCTGAGTTGATGCGATCAGTATTTGCCGTCCGCAGTGCAGCTTTTTCTAGCGTGAAGTCACACAGTGATAACATCACTGTTAGCGTAATGTCTACAACTGTTATATGTTATGTTTTTCTACGAACTATTTGACCTGCTCCCATGCGCCGTCAAAATTTTATACCACAGATTTCGCTCATTGGTAGATTTTGTTTGTGTTAACCATCTTGTGGTCTTCCTCCATCTCACTAGCTCAGTGCTGTGTCTTTGGCATTTTGCTCCAGGTGTATGTCACAGACCAAGTAATACCGGAGCACAATTTGGCCTACATAGTGCACCGCGTTGTAACTGGGTTAGAGTACCTACGGTCACAACTGCGTATCATGCATCGAGATGTGAAACCGTCGAATATGCTGGCAAACCGAGAGGGTCTCGTCAAGGTGAGTCCCCGTTACACTGCAATGCTGCTTTTTAATTCGTCCCCGCAAGTCTAGATTTCTTCGCTTGAATGATGGTATGGCTGAGAGATATACGTGAATTCCTGCTTCACACTGTCTTATCCAGACGTCTGTTAGTAATGACAGAGCTTCACGAGTTCGTTCAGTCGTAACTAAGGATGTAATGTACACTTGAGATACATTCACCCAGAGACATTACAGCATGCTGTCTGATTGTGTTCACACTTCAGTAAAGGTCTGTCAGTGCAAGTCGCTCGCGATCATGTCTTTAATTGTTAATCACAGTTTAAGCTCTGTCCCACACTTCAAACTCAATTCGATCAGTCTGAACCTTTTCAACCCTAATCAAACTAATTAAATCGGTGTAGACAAATGAGAAAGGGATGTGAGACAAATATTCAGACTAAAAATGGTCAAATGCTTATGTCAAAGGCTAGCTTTGATCCAATTCGCCGCTAAAGGATGGACCTGTCATCTTCCTTTCTAATGTAAACTGCTCTTGCTCTGCTTAGTGATTTCTTATCAAGTACACGGAGCTTCGAATCATGACATAGTACTTCTGCCATATCACAGAAGTCAGTGATCAAAGGTAGTGCATTAATTTCTTCAGCTCACGGCTGCCATCTCTTCGATCTGTGCAGTAACACTGGACCTGCTACAAATCTATGCATCCTATCCTTAACCGTTGCCGTGTTCCTAGTTTGCTGAAAGCATGGGTGGTTGAACATGGAACTTAATGATATTCACATTAACTATTTCGATGATTTGACCAATAAATTGCATTCAACTGCCTCGGTACGCTACATACAGAATATGTTCGGTTGTGGGAGCACAGCGCATATCGAAGCATGCAACGGTCAGAAAGGGGCTCAATCCGACCCCGATGTAACTGCACTGTCCACTCGCCTCGACTTCACCAGTCGGTCGTATGACATCACTTACATTCTAATTCAAATTATCCCAGCCTGATGACCCATGGTCATTTCGGTCACTCGGCTGGATCGGGAAGAGTAAACGGCTAGCCCTAATGAGTATTCATGAGAGCCGAATCAGTGAAAGTCTGGCTTCTGCCCTGGTCGTGATTACACCGGCCACATAGTTACTTTTCGTCAAGTACTGGAACAGAGCCAAGCTTCTGGACGTGAACAATGACGCTTTCCCTTGACCTGATGATCACCTTCGTCTCTGTTGATCGTGCCAGTTTGTGCCACTGCCTATCGGTGAAGGGCGTGCTGGGGCAACTCCTTTCAATTCCTAAGTTTCTCTACCTGAATCCTGAGGCCGCGTAAGGGTTTAAATACGTGCTTCTGATTTTCTCACCACAAGTGGGATTTGCCGTGGTTGTAATATGCCTACTTTTCTCTCTGCGATCAAAATGATCCTAAATAGTTCTGTTCTCGAAGCCTCTTCCGGATTGTAGGTTCTACCAGGTGACGGACTGAGTATGCGGACAACACAGCTCTCCTTAAGTCTGATTCATTGGCTATGCAAGCACTACTGAATAAGATAACGCGTAACACTACACGCTTTGGCATATGCTTTGCACCATTAAAGTCCACAGTATTGTTGCAACATTGCACAGACATGCCACCGGTTCTAGGTACCATCGAACAGCCACTGTAAGTGGTGCATCGGTTCAATCACCCTGGCAGTCGCGTCAGCTATAGTGATCATTTTGCGTACCATCAGGTCCCGAGTGGTATTTCAAAAGATAAATCACATGGAGAAGACGAAATATCATCCTATCAGTGAAATGTGCAGTGTGTGTATCAGAAACCTGGCCATTTCGCACTGACAACATTCAACGATTGACCGTCTTTGGTTATTGGTGCTTTCGGAGTATTGTTCACATCTGGTAGGAACATCGGGGGTGCATTGCGATGTCCACCAATTGCTTTTTAACATAAAGCGCTCTGGTGCCTCAATGGATTTTTTGCTAAAACTAAGCCGCGACCATTGGCTAGAGCATGTCCTCTAAATGCCTGTTGTTCACATTCATCGATGTGCATGGTACGCCGTCGCTGCATCTTGTTGCGATAAGCCGCTAGGTAGATGCTCGACGACTTGACGTGAAAACCTGAAGAATTCAAGCGACAGACTTTGTTAGGCTGCATGAGGTCTTCGGGATAGTCCACACCATTGGTTGGAAACCTTTTCAGATACCGCACAATCGCGTACTCATTAGCGTTCCTGCACCTCCTTGTTTACACTCCATCCGGATTGCGTACTACTTCCTATACTCCCTTTTATTGATTACCTTTACCCACTCCGTGTAGCGCACTTTCGTTCCCGGATCATTATTGTTTAACTGAACTGAACTTAGCCCCTTGTGATGCTGCAATTTGGCTACTGTTTCTCTTGAACCCTTATCGATTTATCCCTTTTCAATCTGTTTATGCTACACAAAGATGTACTCTGGATGCAGTGTGCATTTCGTCGGTGCATTATGATTACCCCTAGGTCTTGCAGTTGCGACTGTATCCTCTTCGAACTAGATACAATGGACCAGCAGCTGACTCATGCTGTACACGTCCTCTCGATTGACTGTTGACCATCATCACTCAACCACGTTAGCTTCTCTAGTCCCCTTCTTTAACTTAAAGGCCAAGCTGCACGCATTCCACATCGCTGGAACCTCTTGTGATCGTCGAGTACCTATGTTTTGGTTATCCACCTTAGTACTTAACTCACTGTCTCTGCTGCAGCTGACATTTCTGATGAGATGTATCGTCGTTGCATTTGAATCATAGATACGTGGATGAATGTGGGTGGCTGCCTACGTGACTTCCAGCTCCTAGTTTTATGCCTGTCCTTGCTGTGTTCAATGCCAATGTTGATAAGCAACCTATCTGTTATAACGGTGGTAAACAAAATTCACCACTCCCCTTGGTTTTGTGAGTTTTGCCCTCACTCACCCCTATTCACCCCGTCCTTTTTTACGGTTCCCCGCATAGGTTTTCTCTTGCCTCACATTTGTGTCTAGTTTGGGTTGACGCTAAATCTTGCGCTTAATAGCTTTTCCCTTACTCTGTACATTTCGCTGGTTCTTGAGGCACCATATCGATCCTTCGTCCTTGGAATGACTAGCTTTGATTGATAGATTGTCAGCCTTTCTGCATAACATGTGTATATGCCCTAATTTGAATTATGCGATTGATTTGAACTCACGGACGCTTGATAGCCAGTTTGTCGTGTGGCGAGTAACATTGCTTGTACCCGGATTACCGTGCGTTAGCGGGCGGCAGCAGTCGTTGGGTCTTGGACACTATACTATCCATCCAACGCCACCACCTCGAATTGCTGACTCTATGAAACTGCTAATCGTCCCTAAGCACGGCAGTCAACATGGTGCTCGTGACTGTGGTGTACTGGAATGGTATTTCTATCTCGATTGGGCAAAGGTCCGAAAACCGTGTATATGCCTAACTCAAGTGTTTGCTAGAATTGTAGTCGATTGCTAGACTGGTCGGCGCTGGTTGCCGACGATGACACGTCTGGCTTGCAGTCATAAGGTCACGGGTTTGAATCAGCGTAGTGGCGGGCGTCCTCGCAGTCTGCTCAGCCCAACCATGACCGGTGGTGGTCGCGCGGCAGCGAAGCGCCGTTACAGCATACAGCGGACGCCTTATTATTATTATTATTATTATTATTATTATTTAGTTTTCATAAGTTGACATATACAATTCTGAAACAAGTTGCATCGGAAATATGAACGTTCTCAAAACCCATTAGCTACCGCAGCGTGCGTCCACTTACCTCTTCGGGATGCGCTGGTTAGAGAGGTGTAAACCGGCTTCGATCCAGCCATGGCTCTCATCCACATACTCCCGGTTTTATTCCCTAGTATCTACGCTGGATACGGGCTGCGTGGGTGATGTGTTACGAAACCACTAGTAGCCCCAACTGCATACGCGAGTGTTTTATGAACGTTCATACTCACCTTGACATTGACAAGCACTTCGGAAACAGGTGCCACTTAGTGATGCCATGGGCGCTGCCGGATTGGCTAGTAAATTCGCCATTGTCTGGAGTTTTCTCATTTTCGAATTTTTACCATGCCCAAATCAATGATCCATCTTTAGTTTATGGGCAACATTTTGCCAATTGCCTTATTTCCATCTTCGAATGATGGCTCTGAACGGTCTAACAGTTTACTATCCCATCATATTCACTTTTCCTTTTGGCGCCTGTATTTGACACGCCCATTTTTGAGTAGTTTACCTGTAAATTATTGAGGGCACTCGTAGCTTGAATTGTGGATGAGGGTGGTGAACTTCTCTACGAGCTGAGCGATTTTGACGCAAACATTTCATTGCCAAGCTGGGCAACATCATCAATGTCTAGAAGTTGCGTTTGCAACAAAACACCTGTAGCACTCCGTTAAGGTCGCGAAACAATTTACGGTCTCTTTGCTCTCATCATCTCATCCCCCGTTTCCGTCGGGTGCCGAATGTGAGGGTGATTATCATAACCGTCAACCGTGGCCTCCGGTTATTATTGATGTCTACGCCCTTCCACTGATACGTTCGATTCAACTCTCTTTGCTAATCGACTTATGCTTGAACTGTTGAAGTACCACAAGCAAGGGGACCTCGGTTCTCAAGTATCGACGTAAAGTCATTTAACGTACACAGACTGGTTGGGGGCGGGAGACAGATAGTTTCATTGTTTGTGTCACATTCTTACCTCAGCCGCAACGCTTGCGGTTCACTAGTGCCCCCACATCCTTCAGTTTGTCCACTGACGACGCATCATCCCACTGCATTCCAATCGTGTGTCACGACAGTGCTACACCTGGGCGGAGGAATGTGTCACTGGCGTCCCTTCACTGTCGGTGAATGAATTAGATTGACCAGTTAGAGTGACATGAATATGGATCGAAGGTATGCGGTCGATTGTGCAGTTGTCTACCCGGATCATTGTATGCGAATGAATCGCAGCTTTACCTAGACTGGTCTCAAAAATTCACCTGCTTTAGTCAT